GCTGACTCATTTGAAAAGACCCTGATGCTGGGAAAGATTGAGGGCAGGAGGAGAAGGGGACAACAGAGGATGAGATGGTTGGATAGCATCACTGATTCGATGGATGTGAATTTGGGTAGACTCCGGGAGTTGGTGATGGACAGGGAGGCCTGGCGTGCTGCAGTCTATGGGGTCACAAAGAGTCGGACACTACTGAGTGACTGAACTGAACTGACTGAATGGAACTGAAGTTTTGTCTTGGTCTCAGATCTCTGACCTTTAAGTACCTGTACAGTGGTTAAAATTTAACCCAGTAATTTTGACCTACCTGAGCCAGTAAATTTGCTTTCCAGATGTATGTATGTGACATTATGAATTTAAGTGTTTGGTGTTTAAGAGAGTCTAATGTATTAAACTTCAATGTGTGAAGTAAAGTTTCAGTCTTGAGATTTTAAGAGGACCAAGATAATTTGAAAAATGTTTATGTGTGATCAATTAGACTTACAAGGTTGACTATGAGTTTAGAAATTTTGCTTATTGGGTTGTGTGAGCTGTCAGACATTTAAAGTGCTTAAAAGGGACTTGCTTGGTGGTTAAGAATCTGCCTGCTAATGCAAGGGACATGGTTTTGATACCTGGTCCAGGAAGATTTCTCATGCCTCGGGGCAACTTGGCTTGTGTGGCACGACTACTGAAGCTTTCACACTCTAGAGCTGTGCTCCACAACAAGAGAAGCCACTGCAGTGAGAAGCCCATGCAACGCAACTAGAGAGTAGCTCCCACTTGCTGAAATTGGAGAAAGCCTGTGAGCAGCAACAAAGACCCAGAACAGCTAAAATTGAATAAAAAATTTTAAAAAGTGCTTTGAAATTTGTATATTAAATGCCATGTAATTTAAAATATTTAAGGAAATAATTGAATTTTTTCCCCAAAGGGTAAGTTAGCATAATGCTTAATAGCAGGGGTTCTGGGAGCAGGTTTGTAGGTCAGGGATCATCAAACTATGTCCTATTGTCTGCTTCTGTACAGTCTGTAAGCTAAGAATGGTTTTGACATTTTTAAATGTTTGAGAAAAATCAAAAGAAGACTAATATCTTGTGACATTAAAAAATAATATAAAACTCAAACTTCAGTGTCCATAACAAATTTTATGGGGTTATAGCCATTTGTGGTTCAGTTGCCAAGTCATGTCCAACTCTTTGTGACCCCATGAACTGCAGCATGCCAGGCCTCCCTGTCCCTCACCATCTCCCAGAGTTTGCCCAAGTTCATGTCCATTGAATCAGTGATGTCATCCAACCATCTCATCTTCTGTTGCCCTCTTCTCCTTCTGCCCCCAATCTTTCCCAGCATCAGGGTCTTTTCCAGTGAGTTGGCTGTTTGTGTCAGGTGGCCAAAGTATTGGAGCTTCAGCTTCAGCATCATTCCTACCAAAGAATATTCAGGGTTGATTTCCTTTAAGATTGACTGGTTTGGATCTTCTTGCTGTCCAAGGGACTCTCAAGAGCCTTCTCCAAGACCACAGTTCAAAAGCATCAATTCTTCAGTTCTCTGCCTTTGTTATGGTCCAGCTCTCATACCTGTACATGACTACTGGAAAGACTATATGGACCTTTGTCAGCAAAGTGATGTCTTGGCTTTTTAATACACTGTCTGGGTTTGTCATAGCTTTCCTGCCAAGAAACAATAGTCTTTTAATTTCATGGTTGTCACCATCCATAGCCATTCCTTTATGTACTGTCAACGGCTGCTTTAATGCTACAACTGAAGAGTTGAATGGTTGTGACAGAGACATATACCTGCCAAGACAAACATATTTTCTGCTTGGCCATTTACAGATAAACTTTGATGACCCTGGTGTAGGTTCAAACCACAGCTTTGCTACTTACTAGTACAAGCTTGGCATGTCACCTAACTTCTCTGTGCCTCAGTTTCCTCATCTGTAAAACGGGGATGATAATAGTTATTATCATGTGAATTAAATAAATCAGTATTTGAAAAAAGCTTCAGAATAATGCCTGGTGCATAGTAAATACAATGTAAGTGTTTAAAAATTGGAGAAAATTTAGCTGTGTGTTTTTGGCCAAGTCTTATTTGTGAAGTGAGACCACAATTCTTAGTTCATAGGGGTATTATGCAGATTAGAAGTGTTAATGCACATAAAGTATTTTGTGGGATGCCTGGATTTTAGTAAGCATTCAGTAAACATCAGTATCATTGTTAACATTCTCTTGCAAGTGAAATACATAGTGAGTTATTGCTAATCAGTTACTAAACGCCTAGCAGAGCTCAAGGTTATGTGTGTGCTATGCTTTGAATGGTAACTGGGATCTGGTTGCCTTGATTTTCTGACATTCTATTGTATCAATGTGCTTTCAGTTAAACATTGCTCTGTCCAGGGATCCTCTCTCTCTCTCTCTTTTTTTCTTATTTATTTTTATTGAAGTATGATGGCCTTCCCTGGTGGCTCAGTGGTAAAGAATCCACCTGCTAATGCAGGAGAAATGGGTTTGATCCCTGGGGCGAGAAGATCCCCTGGAGAAAGAAATGGCAACCCACTCCAGTATTCTTGCCTGGGAAATCCTGTGGACAGAGGAGCCTGGCGGGCTGCAGTCCATGGGGTCACGAAGAGTCAAGACACGACTTAGTGACTTAACAACAACAGCAACATTAAAATATAGTTGATTTACAATGCTGTTAATTCCTGAGGGATCCTCTTTTTAAAGTATGCACTTTCCAAACTGGCATCCCTTCTTCCTTGGCATGGTTTATTTAGGTACAGGAAGGAAATGGCAACCCACTCCAGTGTTCTTGCCTGGAGAATCCCAGGGACGGCGGAGCCTGGTGGGCCGCAGTCTATGGGGTCGCAGAGAGTCGGACACGACTGAAGCGACTTAGCAGCAGCAGCAGCAGCAGCAGCTGCTTTACAGTGGAAGCCTGAGAACAGAGTACAGGCAAGGGTTGGGATCTCTGGTAAAAACATAAGGAAAAGGAGAAATTTTGCAGTCTCAGATTTTCCCTGCCATTCTGTTCGCCTGAGGTGTCAGAGCAGCTTCCCTACCATTAGGGACATTTTTACACAGCCTTGCCCTTAGGTCCCGTGGGGCTTCCACCTTTGAAATCTACTGCACAGCCAGGAAGCAAGCCTGGCTCAGGGCGCCACCTGCTGATAACCTTCCCCTCCTGCACCCTCGGCTGGGATTGATGCTCTTTTTTTTTTTTTTGTTTCCCTTTTGGCACAAATTTGTCCTTGCTCAACTGCCCACAGCCCTGAGCACTTCTTGCCCTTCTTCATGACGTCAGGACACCCTGGGAGTTGAAGGCCGGTGAGATTTCACGGTTTATCTTCCAGTGTCCTTGAGGTTTGACACACAGAGTCAATTTTGTGGCAGATGGTGGGACCTGAGGCTTATTCTGTGATTAAAAATTGTTTCTTGCATCGATAGTTGTGCTTTCCCAGTCTGGGGCCGTGGGAATAGGGTCACCACGGTGACCTTGACAGGTGGCGACGGAGGAAGGAGGGGAGGGAAGTGACTCACTGTGCACCTTCCCTGTAGGTTACCAGCTTGAAGTCTCAGGATGTGTTGGACCCTATTTTAGTCACCGGAATTTGTCGTCATTTTGTGCTATTTTCCCCCAAACGCAGATGTGGCTGAGGGATTCGGGGGCAGGCCTCTGTCACCATGGAAACTGTGACGCTGTCCTGCTAGGGGCAGTTTGGAAGCAGGGAGGCCTGGAAGGCTGGGGAAGGCCCCAGATTTGACCTCCACTATTCCTGCATTAGGGCCTTTCTCTAAAACCGAGACCCAGAAAGGGAGGGAATATGCTGGGGTCACAGTGCGCTCCCCGGGAAGAGGTAGAACGATCTGAGCCCACGATCCGCGTGCTCGACTTCCCCACAAAGCCCAGGAAGCCCTCCTAGCTCCATTCTTCTTGAGATTTCCATCAAATAAGTCCTAGCGTCCACGATCTTTTCGAACGCTCGCCTAGTTGACGCTCCGAGACTTCCCCTTTAAGGCGCTCTTCCCCTTTAAGACCCATGACTCCGCCCATTACGCTGCGCCGCATACTTAAAGCCCCGCCCCCCTCCAACAGCTTCCGCAGGGCAGCTGTAGCCGCGCGACGGTCACTGCCCCTTTAAGCCCGAGCCCCGCCCCTGGCTCCCCGCCCCCTCCGCTCCCGTCCCCTCCTGCCAGCACCAGGTGCTGGGCCTGATCGTGCGGCTCCGCGCGCGGCGGTGAGCTCTGGGCCCCGAGGGGCGCGAGGACACCTTCCTGGTCTTCCCCCGCCCTTGCGGTGTCCTCGCGGGGCGCGGGGGCGGGGCTTGAGCTGCTACCGGGGCGGGAGAGATGGGGTGCTAGGAGCGCGGGAGGGGTGGGCCAGGACCGGCCGAACAGGGGGAGGGGCCCAGGTGACTTAGGGGGGCGGGAATGGACCCCCCGCGGTGCTCGCCGGGCGACCGGGGTGAGGGGGCCTGGACTGACGGCCCCGCGGCGTGCCCCCTCTTCCTTGCCTGGCTAGTGTCCGCGTACAGTTCAGCTGCGGAATGGTCCCCCTTGGTTCCTTGGGGTCCAGGCCCGTCTGTGGGGGGCGGTCGCCGTCCGTCCCGCTGCCTGAGACCGCAGTCGTGGAGGCCGCTGGAGAGGCCCCGGCGGAGCGCGGTAGCCTTTGAGGGGGGCGGCAGAAGGGCACCGGCCTCCCGACTCCTGGCAGAGGTGGGGGCAAGCCGAGAAGTCGCAGTGGCCCGCGGCCAATCACCTGGGACGGACGTCTGCCCGCCTCCCACAGATCCGGGCAGAGTTGTGGGTTGGGGAAGGGTTTGGCTCCTGGACCTCAGTTCCAAACCTCTGCCCATCAGAGAGCCAGCGGTCACCATGGCAATGAGGGAGCTGGTGGAGGCGGAATGTGGGGGTGCCAACCCACTCATGAAGCTGGCCGGGCACTTCACCCAGGACAAGGCCCTTCGACAGGAGGGCTTGAGGCCCGGCCCCTGGCCTCCAGGAGCCCCAGCCTCGGAGTCGGTGAGTGCTCTTGAGGTGGAAACCACAGTGGGGACCTGGGATGGAGGGTACAGATGCACACTTTGGGATAACTGCTTGCTTTATTGTGTTTCAAATAATAGCAGTTACTGCAGAGTCAGCTTTACCGTATTAGGCATTGAACGACTTTGTATAGAGGAAGGCAACCATTTTATAGATGAAGAAACTGAGGCTCAGAGAAGTTTTGTCACTTGCCCGAGGTCATGTGAATGGAAGAGCTGGAATTTTTACCCAGGGCTGAGTTACGGGTCTGTGGTCTTCACTACTGTACCATATCATCTCCCTTTCTTTTGTCTTAGGTCTCTAAGCCTTTGGGGGTAGCCTCTGAAGATGAGGTAAACATACCAGTCTCTTCTGTCTCATTTTTTGTTTGCTCACTGTATTTTTACTTTAAACTTGGCTCACTTGTGTTTCAGTCTGCTGACTTCCCTGATCCAATGAGTTGCCTCAGCTCTCTTGTTGGTTTTTGTTTATTCTTTTTTTTTAAAACTTACTTATTTTTTTAATTGAAGGATAATTGCTTTACAGAATTTTGTCGCTTTACGTATTCTTTGAGCGTTTTCATATCTATGGGTTCTATGTTTCCCTTTCCTTGTGTTTGACATTTGTGTCCCTCGTGGAATGGGCCCCTGTTTCTTGCTGGGTTCGCTTTACCATCTCTCTTCTGACAGTTGGTGGCTGAGTTCCTCCAGGACCAGAATGCACCTCTCGTATCCCGTGCCCCTCAGACCTTCAAGATGGATGACCTCCTGGCCGAGATGCAGGAGATTGAACAGTCAAACTTCCGCCAGGCACCCCAGAGAGGTGGGTCTAGGGTCTGGTGTTAGGGAGGGGAATCACCGTTTTCTGTGCAGATGGGGACAAGGGGATTTTGTATTTGGAAGCCGCTGATACTGGGGAGCTGAGTTACAGAAGGAGACAAATAGAGTAGAGTTTTTTTAAAGAATGTGCCTGCCAATGCAGGAGACGCGGGTTTGATTCCTGCATCTGGAAGATCCCCTGGAGGAGGAAATGGCAACCCACTCCAATATTCTTGCCTGGAGAATCCCATGGACAGAGAATCCTGGCAGGCTACAGTCCATGGGGTTGCAAAGAGTTGGAAATGACTTAGAGACTAAACAGAGCAACAACAGAGTTCCTGAGGCCTGATGGAATGATGTGTATTTTCCTCAGTTCTCTCTCTGTCTCTCTCTGAAGCCCCTGGTGTGGCAGACTTGGCCTTGTCTGAGAACTGGGCCCAGGAGTTTCTCGCAGCTGGAGATGCTGTGGATGTCTCTCAGGAGTATAATGAGACTGACTGGTCCCAAGAGTTCATCTCTGAAGTTACAGGTGAGGATTGTCATGGGAAAATCTAAAATGGTTCCTACGGTGCAGTGTTCTACAGTGTCATCCTCATTCATGTTTATTTCTTTTTTTTTAACCCTCATTCATTGTAAGATATAGAGGGATTTCAGCTGCTTATGACCTTTCTGAACTCTTGACTCTTTAATATAGGGCACTGAACCAGGTTTCTCTTAGATGGTAATAGGGAATTGAAACATATTATGCACAGTAGTGGGTTTGAATTGGTTAAGAGACTGTGAGGAGAGAGAGAACAGGAGGAGTTAGGTTTTCTTCTTTATTACCTGGAACTTTATTATTGTAGTTTGGTGGAGAGGATCCACGGATTGGATGGGTGGCAGTGTTGCCTAGCAAGAAAGAGCTGTTCACGGCATCCCTGGGGATTCTGGCATTAAGTTGTCCTGAGCAGGGTTGGAGCCTTGGAAAGTGGAATTGTGGAGTTCAAAGGCCTGAAGTGTACAGTCTTGGTGATGATAATAAAAATTAATAATATTAGCTAATGTTTACTTCGCCATGAGCTAGGCTTTGTTTTAGTGCTTTAAATGCATTGTCCATTTAATCTCCCTGAAAACCCTTGAGGTTGTTACTGTTTTTATTCTTAGTATATAGATAAGAAAACTGAGGCTGAGGGATTAAGTAATTTGCCTAGGGAATCACAGCTTTGTAAGTGGTGGAGTTGGAATTTGACTCTGGGTTTGAATGATTCCTTCCTTATCCTGTAAATGAAGAGCTACTTTAGAAAAACATGTTGCACCTGTCTTACCTGTTAAAAACTTTGGGAGATCTCTCTCTTCCTCCTCTTGTTTCCTGGAGGCAAGGATATGGAAAACTGGAAAGGAAAGTTGAGCTGTGTGGGATCTGTCTTCATATAAATGCCCTGTTGCAGTAATATTGCTTTGTATGTAGTGGTCCTTCAGGATTTATTGAATGGAAGAGTTGAGATCTGGCAGAAAGAATTAGAGGGAACTGACTTCCTAGTACAGTCCTTCGTGGTATCTGCAGAGGTTTGGTTTCAGGACCCCTGTGAATGCTCAAGTCCTTTATATAAAATTGTGTCATATTTGCATAGAATGTAACCTCCCATATGCTTTAAATCTCTGGATTAATTATGATATCTGATACAGTGCCAATGCTTTATAAATAGTCACCAGCATGGGACAAACTCACATTTTGCTTTTTGGAACTTTTTGGAATTCCCCTGCCCCACCCCCTCTGAACATTTTCCATCTGTAATTGGTTGAAGCCGTGGATGTGGAATCCCTGGACACTAACTGCATAGCATTTATGGCTGATATTTTCAGAGTAGTGATATAGCCTGTTTCTTTGTGGATAAGTAGACTTCAAGTTGAGAGAAGGTTATATTCTTTAAATCTTTACTATTTTCAAGTCCCCATTGTAAGGATTTCAGAATCTAGTTTAAAAGGAAACCATTTTATCTTGTTTTAATGTTGTATTTGGAAATATAGATCCCATGGAAGTTGCAAAAAACATGTACAGAAAGTTTCTGTGTGTCTTTCCCTCTGTTTTCGCCATTGGTCATATTTTACATTTGTTCGTTATATACAATATCAAAATCAGAAAATTGCCATGATCCATGTATCTTATTAGATTTCACCAGTTTTACGTACTTTTATTTGTGTGTTTATAGTTTCATGTTTTATCACGTGAAGATTTGTGTAACTATCAGTGCAATTAAGATTCAGAATTATTCCATTACAACATGAAGCTCATTTTTTAGTCTGACATATTTCCTGATGGAACTCCAGCCCTCCCCACTTATTTGACAATCTTCTGGGCCAAATAACTATCTACTGTGTGATTGCTCAGCTCTAGAGAAGAGAAACATCTTTAAGGGGTTTTGAGTTTAGACCGCCTCAGGTAACATGGTGTGTGGGGTTTACGTGACAGGAGAGATAAAGCTGCCTTTTCATAGGAAGACCAGTGGCCAGAATTAGCAGATGGTGATTGGCGATAGATCTCCCCTTGATGGCAGCAGAAAGGCTGTGGAATAAAAGGAATAACAATCTCATTGTGATGTTTCCACTTTTGTATGGCTTTGCCTTGAGCAGACAGAAATGATGATAGTAGCTAATACTTGTTACTCTGTGCTTTACACTGGCATTATTCCATCTGGTCTTCACAATAATCCTGGTGAGGTAGTTATTATTATCTCTATTTCACAGATAAGGACTTAGAAACTTAGAGGGTTGACTGATTCATGGGGAGGGAGACATGGGGCAGGAGATGCACAGTGAGTCAGTGATAGAGTTGGGATCCGAGTGCAGGTAGGCTGACCCTAGAACCTGCCTTCTTTCTTTTTTTTTTTATTTTTTAAATTTGATGAATTAATTTGGCTGTGTCAGGTCTTAGTTGCGGCACACAGGCTTCTCTCTAGTCCTATCGAGAGGGCTGCAGAGTGTGGGGTCTGTAGTTGTAGCATGTGGGCTTAGTTGCTGCACAGCGTGTGGGATCTTCATTTCCCGAATCAGGGATCAAACCTGTGTCTCCTGTGTTGGAAGGTGGATTCTTAATGGACCACCAGGGAAGGCCCTAGAACCTGCCTCTGGACCACTGTGTTATTTAGCAAATGTGGAAACTTCCATAGGTAGAGGTAGGAAATTTTGAGTTTTTGACTGTTGAGTTGGCGTTCATGTTTCTAGATGAAATGAACACACACCGAGAATCGAAGTGAGGTGGAGGCTCTGAGTCAGATGTCTGGTATCTAGGTTAGGTTGCTGGGTATCACTCTAGGATCTCCTGACTGTGGGTAGTCCCTCCCACTCAGCAGGCCTTAGTTCGTTCAATCTCATAGGCAAGCAGATGGATCTGGTTTTCTATAAGATTTGCTCAAAAAGCATTGAAGGCCAGGTAGTATTCTTTTGATTATTTTATTTTACATCCTTTGTTGGAGTAGATTCCCAATGCCAGAAAATCCTGAATCTCATGGCCAGTATGGTTAAATACAAAATTATGGCTCTTTGATGATGATGCATCTCTGGGATTTTTTTTGTTTTTCCTAAACTTCCTCTTGTCCATTGTAGAGGCTGGGTCATTTCGTATTTTTTCTGTCGCTTCTTGTCCTGTAAAGGAGGATTGCACAGAACTGGTGTTCTCTGTAATTTGAGGGGTATTTATGGCCAGAATATGCTTTTGCAAAACACTTCAGCTGAGAGGAAGGCGTGACTGGAGGGTGAGGAGAAAGGACTGGTTACTTTTCAACAGAACAGGATAGGAGTATTACGCATTTCCTTATTAGGTCTCCGGACTTGAGCCAACAGTCTAGCTGGGGCAAAGGAAAGAGAAATGTTGCCTGTAAAAGCCAGTGACGGAAATCAGGATATAAATGTTAGGAGCTCTTGAAATTAAGAGACCAAGTCCATGATCAAAACCGTATCCTTCATTTTATTGCTAATAAGTCACTTATTATTTATGATTAGGTGATATCTGTGAGTCTTGATTTTTTTTTTTCTTTTTCAGATTTTGGCATTGTTTTCTCAGATGTTGAGATTAGCTTGTTGAAATTATTCAGACAGAGTGTCAGTTCAGTGGAACTGAAAGTTCTGTTACAAATCAGTACTGAGGACAGCTTGCCTCCTTGGTGTTAAAAGTGGTGACAGAGCTTCAGAAGACAGGATGAACATGTATAAGGGCAAGAGGGCAGAGCAGAAGGAAAGAAGACCACAAGCCCATTGTTCACTTCGTGTACTAATTCTAATTTAGGGCCCCTTTAAGTCCTTTAATCTGTCTCTCTCTCTCTTTTTATTTCTGACTTCAGACTAGTGAAGAGCAAAGTCCTGCAAGTTGAGAAAAGTCCAGCAGCCTCATTTGTTATGTTTATTCTGAGATTGCCTTGGTGCAACCTTTGTCACGAGAGCTTCTGAGACAGTTTCTGGAATTACACTGAAAAATGTAGCTCTCAAAACCAGTCAGAAGTGACAGAAGTCAGAATAGTGTTTATCCCGGGGTAGGTAGTGGTAGGGGCCTGCGGGAACCTGCGAGGGAACTGGAGACTGGTCCCTGCTGTGATCTGGAGTGTGTTCATAGGTAGAAATTAATGAAGCGGTACACCTAAGTCTGGCCCACTCTACATACTTTCATGTTTGTATGTTACATCTCAAAAAAAAAAAAAGATGCAATGGGCAGAGTGGACCCATACATCTCTAGGTCTGGCTCAGCAGTCTGTTCCTCAGATTCTCTTGGTGGTACATTATGTTAGGATGAAATACGAGCTGCTTGTGGCCTGGAGGGCATGAACTGTATAGACAGAGGACAGACAGAGGCTTGATTAAGGAGTGTGAGCACCCATGTCTCCCCTGGTCTCCTGAAGTCCCCGCGTCACGTCTGAGGAAGCCGGAGCCCCGGCGCCTGCTGTCTTAGTGAGCACTCTTGTATTTCAAACAAAAAGGATTTGGTCCATACCCCTCTCCTGAGCCGCCTTATTTGGTCTCCTGTCCCCAGCTCAGTACACTTGTCCCCCAGGCCCCTGGAGAGTGGGTTGGATATTGAAAACTTGGTAGTGTTTTCTTTTGACCAGGGATGTCTGCGGGATTCTGCCTTGACTTGGTTCATATTCTACCCTCCCTGCTCCCTCGCTGATTGCCCACCCCTCTGCTCTTTGTAGACCCTTTGTCCGTGTCCCCAGCCCGCTGGGCTGAGGAGTACCTGGAGCAGTCAGAGGAGAAGCTGTGGCTGGGAGAGCCAGAGGGAACGGCTGCTGCTGATCGCTGGTGAGTCCAGCCTCTTCTCTTTGGATGGGCCCCGTGGAATGAGCGTTGGACAGTCCCCTCCCTCAACCAACCCCCTGCCTGCTCCTGTGCCCCCCAAGCTCTTCCATCCACATCCTCAAACCTACTTGCAGCCCTTCATTACCTACTCTAAGGCTTCCACTTGTACTATTACCCCAGTTCATTTATGTCTCAAATGTAATTGAATCAAGAACCCTAACTATTGTACCAAGAATTCATAGCTTTATCTGATGCACCTGTTTCCCTTTTATTTGGAGCCTGCTACTGTCTGTTCCTTCTCTCTGTCCCAAAGATGGTTTGGGGAAGAGAGGTAGAAGCGCGTAGCTAGTGCTCTGCCCCTCCTGCCCAGAGGTCCTTCTTTAATGTAAAGCGGAATTCGTGGGTCCTCAACCACGAATGATTGAGAACTCTTTAACTACCGCGGGCGGGGAGTGGGGAATGGTGAGGGCAAGGTAGTGGCAGACCCACGTGTACAGTTAGCGCATCCTCGCCTGTTCCAGGTATGATGAATACCAGCCCGAGGAGGACCTGCAGCACACAGCCAGTGACTTTGTGGCCAAGGTGGATGACCCCAAGCTGGCTAACTCTGAGGTAAGCCGTATCTCACCACTGCTGCTTCATCCGAGAAGTCAGGGGAACCCTTCCCTTACCCCCGTTTAGTTAAAGGAGAAAGAGCTGGGACCCGGGGTCCATTCCTTCCTCTCTGGGGAGCAGAGACTTAGGACCCTGCCTCTTCCCCCAGTCTTGCCCCCAGTTACTCACCTGCTAACCCTCTGTCTTTTGTGCCTTCTCCCATCTTTAGAGCCAGAGATCCCCCTCTCTTTGCTCTCTGCTTTTTCCAGGGTCCTTAGCGTATCTTGTCAGCAATTAGAGGTGGTCCTCAGGGGGAGAGGTCAGTGCAGGCTCCTCTGGGCATGGTCGAGAGGGCACACCGGCAAGGCCTCTCCCAAGTGGCCTGTGTGTATCTCTGTGCCCCAGTTCCTGAAATTCGTGCGGCAGATTGGCGAGGGGCAGGTGTCCCTGGAGTCCGGCGCAGGGTCAGGCCGAGCTCAGGCAGAGAAGTGGGCGGCAGAGTTTATTCAGCAGCAGGTAGGTTCCTGTCACCTCCCAGCCCCACCCCGGAGCTGCTGGTGCCCCCAGCCGTGGGCTCAGGGGTCCCAGAGGGTGAAGGGAACCTATTGCCAGCTTGTTGGGTAGCATCCAGGTCCTGAGTGGGCGGGAAAGAGATTCTGAGAATGTTCTTCTCAGAAGTGCCCAGGTTGTTGCTATATATTGGGTGTTCAGTGGGTAGAAAATTAGTGGTGGTGCTATGACCAGCCTGCTTTGTTACAGGGTACGTCAGAGGCCTGGGTTGACCAGTTCACAAGACCAGTAAACACGTCTGCCCTCGATATGGAGTTTGAACGAGCCAAGTCAGCCATAGAGGTGAGAACAGCTGGCCAAGTGTGACCAGGCCAGGAGGAAATGCTCCTGTGGAGAGAGTGGGTGTCCCAGCATCAGAGATGATGGACGTTGTATTTCATAATGTTCTGTATTTCATGACGTGTCAGAATTACTTGAGATGGGGCGTGAGTGTGAGTGATAGTCACTCAGTCGTGTCCGACTCTTTGCGAATACATGGACTATAGCCTGCCACGCTCCTCTGTCCATGGAATTCTCCAGACAGGAATACTGGAGTGGGTTGCCATTTCCTTCGCCATGGGATGGTGGGGGTGCCTGTCAAAAACACCAGTCCTGGGCCTCCCAGACCACTGAGTCAGGACCTGGGAACAGCATCTGGGAAGAATAGCAAAGGAAAGCTTTTCAGTGATCTGAGACATGTGGGAAAGGAAGAGCTCCTGCCACAGGGAGCCCGTCGTAGTGGCACTGAGAGTGGGTTGAGGTGGTCACAATGGACCTTCTTCCCTATCTACCCTCCCTCCCTTACAGTCTGATGTCGATTTCTGGGACAAGTTGCAGGCAGAGTTGGAGGAGATGGCAAAGCGTGATGCTGAGGCCCACCCCTGGCTCTCTGACCATGACGACCTCACGTCTGCTTCCTATGACAAGGTGAGAAGTAGCTGTTTTCACGTCGCAGGGTTTCCTTCTTTTATTGTCTCTCCTTTAATCCTGAATTTGAAGGGTATCCACATTTAAATAATCATTTTCTTGAGCCCCCTTCCATGAAAAGGAAGCCTGGATTACTCCCTAGCATTCTAAGTCACTTCAGTGGTGTCCAACTCTTTGCAGTCCCATGGACTGTAGCCTGCCAGGCTCCTCTGTCCATGGGATTCTCCAGGGAAGAATACTGGAGTGGGTAGCTATTCCCTTCTCCAGGGGATCTTCCCGACTCAGGGATCAAACCTGCGTCTTTTAAATCTCTTGTATTGGCAGGTGGGTTCTTTACCATTAGGGTCACTCTGTGTTCTTCTCCAATCATTGAAAGTATTCTTTATTCTTGGGATATAAAAGTTAATAATAACAATTATAAGTGACATAGTACCTGAAATAGAGGTTTGCACATGATGCGTTAAGAGCACAGAAGAAGGAGCTCTGCTTTGGAGGTTGGTTGAAAGCATTTTAAGAATATTGATAGCTCCTTTGGTAGAAAATGTTAGGTAGTAGGCCATCTCTGCCCTCCAACTTAGTATCTCTTTACTTATTGTTTTAAAAAATTAATTTATTCTTTTGGCCACGCTGCAGGGCATGTGGGATCTTGTTCCCTGACCAGGTCCGTTGCACTGGAAGGCGGACTCTCAACCTCTGGACTGCCAGGGAAGTCCCCACTTATAGATTCTTGAACCCTGTTTTGACATCATTGATACCTTGGGTGGGATATTGCAAAATTAGGATTAGAAGCATTTGAATTGATGTTCCACAAAAATATGCTAAACTTTATTGTCACATATGAACAATCCAGATTTTATCTGCCTTTTGCTGTTATTGAATTATATGTCAGTAGTAGTGTTTTTTTCTTTTTTTTTTAAGATGTGGCTCTGACTCTGTCAAGTAAATTCATGGGTCTCTGAATGTAAATTTTTTTATTCACGGTCCTTAAATTTGCAAGACTACAGCTATACCTTGAGCAGCTATTGTAGACTGTTAAAATGAAGGAGAAAATTCTGTGATGGGATATACTCTACTTAGTCGTGATCCTGTTTTTGCAGTATGATCCTATGAAAGTTTGAGCAGACCAGACAGTGGATCAGGCCGAATGATTAGACTTTTTAGGCTGTAACAGTGATCCCAAGCGTATCCTGCATCTTGTAGGTTGTTATGGGCTTCCCTGGTGGCTCAGTCAGTAAAGAATCTGCCTGCAACACAGGGGAACCAGGCTTGATCCCTGAGTAGGAAAGCTTCCTGGAGAAGGAAATGGCTGCCCACTCCAATATTCTTGCCTGGAGAATCCCATGGACAGAGGAGCCTGGCGGGCTACATGGGGTCACGCAGAGTTGGACATGACTTAGTGACTGAGCAACAACAACATCCCAAGTCCATCTCCTGTATGCTGTGTTTCTTAAATCGCCATTGTAATTATTTAAATTTTATCTGTCACAGATAATTTGCATCTGTGATGGCTTACAGTGGTTCAGAACTTTGCTGGCAGGATTTAAGCATTTCTTGTTCTTGAGCTCTTTCACAATGATAGTGAAGAAGGGCCTCCTTTATGTCCTTATCTCATAGTTTTATTCTGATTTGTCCTTAACTGTATTCAGAAAGGGACTTGCCCTGTGTTTTGCATCTTGCTTTCATTCTGGTGTGTTTTGTAGTGGTGACCCCTGCTCTCCTTAAAGGGAGTGTTTTGTTCCCTTGTCATGGTCACATGCTTCCTAGGAATCCAGTTTACCTAACACCTCTCTGCTGCGTGGAAGGCCCCAGGACAGGACTCAGGACAGTATCATCCTAACCCCTCAAATGAGAACACCTCTGCTAGAACAGGACGTGATTCTGAAGCCTTTAATGCCCTCAGGATATTGGAATTTAACTTTCATTTACTATTTATTGCTGCGTGGACAGGACTGTCCACGGACAGTCCCAGGACAGGACTCAGGACAGTAGCATCCTAACCCCTCAAATGAGAACACCTCTGCTAGAACAGGACGTGATTCTGAAGCCTTTACTGCCCTCAGGATATTGGAATTTAACTTTCATTTACTATCAGGTACAGATTAATACTAATAACTTTTAAGAATGAAATTGGAGAATAAATTAAGTTTTTCAAAGTGCTTGAACACATACTATCCTGTCAGTGCGCACAGGACTCTGTGAGCTGGGTGAGAGTTGCATTTGAATAGTAGAGCCTCAAATCACATTTCCTTTATATATTATCTCACTATTGCAAGATAACAAGCAATGCCCTTTGACTAGCTAAAGAGAGCTTATCTCATACCCTAAGCAGATCCTGTTAAGAAATGTGCTCTGTCCAGTGCTGAGGAGTCAAGGATGTGGAAATATCAGCCGATAAAGACTTCCTAAAAATAAGTTTAATTGCAGTGTGGATCAGAGTTTGCCAGGCTTTCCAGCTGCTGGGAGCAGGGCAGCAGCGTGGGCACAGTGCGGGATGACTTCACTGTGGTCGCGGACAGCCTGCTTCGTGACATGGAGGGTTTGCCAGCGTTTCTCCAGATCCCTTCGTGGAGGCCCTCTGCTTCCTCTCCATCTTTTGCCTGCCTTGGTTGTCATCTCATTCCCGCTGCTCCATAGCAGCTCCATCTGAGATTGCTCCTTCTGAGACCTGGTCTCACCTGGCTCCTCTTCCTTGTAGGGATACCACTTTGAGGAGGAGAACCCCCTGCGGGACCACCCCCAGCCTTTCGAGGAGGGGCTTCGGCGGCTCCAGGAGGGGGACCTGCCCAATGCCGTGCTGCTCTTTGAGGCGGCCGTGCAGCAGGACCCCAAGCACATGGAAGTGAGCGGCTCCTCCTTCTGACCTAATTAGAGAGAGCTCTTCAGTCTTGAGGGAGGCCCTGAAGCGGGTAGTGCACAAGGGTTAGGGTCTGGGTCACGGCCTGGGGTGGGGGCCTGGGAATGAGATGGTGAGTCTGTGGGGAGCCAGAGGAAGGGACAGTGACTACACGGGTGATGAAATCTGGCACCTTCTGTCTAGGCTTGGCAGTATCTGGGAACCACCCAGGCAGAGAACGAGCAAGAACTTTTAGCCATCAGTGCGCTGCGGAAGTGAGTACTCTGAAAGGGGGGCGTGGGTGGGGGAGGGGTGGGGTGGTCTTGGAGCTCTGGAAACAGCGTTTAGAATGACAGGTCCTGGTCTTCTTTCTGGCCACTAATGAGTGTTTTCTCATGATGAAACTCTAAGGTTTGGAGTGAACTTGGGAATAACTGTCTCTATTCCCTCCCCAGCTTTTGGTTTTGTCTGGGGGACCCTGGCTGGTTCCTCAGCTGCTGAAATGTCCCCTTTCTCAGATCTGTGACTTTATTAATAACCCACCAGTAGGGGATTCCTCTGCATCTGAATGGAGGGAGTTGGCAGGTAACTCTCGGCTTGGATTGCAGGGTTGCTGAGACCAGCCCTGTCCCTCTCGGTCCAAACAGGTGCCTGGAGCTAAAGCCAGACAACCGGACGGCCCTGATGGCACTAGCAGTGAGCTTCACCAATGAATCCCTGCAGCGGCAGGCCTGTGAGACCCTGAGAGACTGGCTACGCTACACGCCGGCCTATGCCCACCTGGTGGCACCCGGGGAGGAGGGGGCCGGTGGGGTGGGCCTGGGCACCAGCAGGCGCATCCTGGGGTCCCTATTGTCCGAGTGAGTGAGGGGCTTCTGGGGTGGCGGGTGGTGACCAGGGAGAGGGAGGACCCAGACAGTGGGAGTTGGGGTAGATTGCTGCTCAGTTCTGGGGGGATGGGAGACTCAGGGTTGGAAGGAAGGAAGGGTGCAGGTGGACGGATGCTTTGTGGGTATGTGATGGGTTAGTGAAGAGAGTGCTGGGAATATAGACGTATCCATCCACCTGCATTTCTGCATCTTTGTCTTCCTCACCCAGCTCCCTGTTTCTTGAAGTGAAAGAGCTCTTCCTGGCGGCTGTGCGCCTGGACCCAACATCCATCGACCCTGATGTGCAGTGTGGCTTGGGGGTCCTCTTCAACCTGAGCGGGGAGTATGACAAGGCGGTGGACTGCTTCACCGCTGCACTTAGCGTCCGCCCTGATGTGAGCATCTGGGGAGGAGGGGAGAGAGGCCCCGATTCTGTGCCCCAGGGAGGAGTCATTTGTTGGGACCTTCAGTGTCACGGGTGTCTCCTTCTGGTTCTGCGTCCTGGCTTCCTTGGGAGAATTGGGAAGGGAAGGGCAGGAGTCCAAGCTCATCTGGGCTTAGGGGAGTCTGCAGGAGTGAGTGGTTATGTCATGATCTGTGGAGATAGGAATGGGATCATAACATGCTAGAGAAATAGAGTGGGGAACCAGGGGAGATGGGGCAGAGTTGGATGTGAGCCTGGCTGGTGTTTCTAACCCTTGGCCATCCCTGTCTTAGGACTATTTGCTGTGGAATAAGCTAGGGGCCACCCTGGCCAATGGAAACCAGAGTGAAGAAGCAGTAGCTGCATACCGCCGGGCCCTTGAACTCCAGCCTGGCTATATCCGGTCCCGCTACAACCTGGGCATCAGCTGTATCAACCTTGGGGCCCACCGGTAAGAGTATCTGCTGAGGAGGGAATGAATGAATGAATGAGTGAATGAACAAATGAATGAATGAGTGAACGAATGAATGAATGAGTGAACTAGTGAATGAGTGACTGAGTAAATGAATGAATGAGTGAACAAGTGAATGAATGAATGAATTAACTCCTCCCTGCTGTGGGCCCTGGCTCCTCCTCCTCTGATCTGTTACTTGACTATCAGGCACAGCTTGCTTTCTCCCCTCACCCACTGACCTGCCTCCTTCCCTGGGTTATCCTCTCACCAGCTCTCATGCTTCTGCCCTGCAGGGAGGCTGTGGAGCACTTTCTGGAGGCCCTGAACATGCAGAGGAAGAGTCGGGGCCCTCGGGGTGAAGGGGGCGCCATGTCAGAGAATATCTGGAGCACCCTGCGTTTGGCCTTGTCCATGTTAGGCCAGAGCGATGCCTACGGGGCAGCTGATGCCCGGGACCTGCCCACCCTCCTGGCGATGTTCGGCCTGCCCCAGTGACAGTGGGACGGGCTGCCCTGCGAGTGTCTGCTTGGAGGGGTCCCTGCTCTGGACATGATTCCCTCTCCCCAAATGGGCCTACCAAGGGGGCGGGCTGATGACCACAAGTGGTACCGCCTCTCAGGGGCCACCTCTGCGTAGGGTGGGTAGTCTGCATTCTAGTTCCTGCATAATTGTAGGAAAAGGAGCTGTGTCATTGGAGCCCTTGGTAATTCAAGGGCTGTCTGTCCAGCTCCCTATCTCTGCTCATCATGCCCTTTCTTGGTGCTGCTTTTTGGTTAGGACCCAAAGATAGAGGGTAACTGTTGTCATCAGCTACCGTTTCTGAAGGGTATGCCACATTTGTAACATCTGTCCTCCCCCGACCTTTCCCAGGAATTGATAATCACGCAGCCTCTTCAGGCAGTGGTGTGGGTCCTACCGAGCACCTCTGTGATGACCGTGTCTAGGGTGGCATGTGAGATTGAAGTGTTGATCTGGCTCAGCGGAGCCGGGGTTTTAGGGGTGCTTGTGGTTCTGTCGTCCTTGGATCTCCCCTGGCTGCAGCTTGGGTTTCCTGGTTGCTGCTGCACACAGTGATGGGCATCATTGTGGGAGGGGTCTTCAGGGGCTGCCGGGGTCAGTTGCTGCAGAGTGTTTGGGTGGGGGGAGTAGGGAGGAAGGCTTGTTGTAGACTGAGCCTCAAAGGGACCAGATGGGCTCAGGTCCAGGGCTCTGGTCTGGGGCCTGGGGAGGGAGGACAGAGTAGGTGGGATGAGGACTGTCCTGATTGTGGCCATCCCCCTCCACTTAGAATGACCTGCGAGTCAGAATTGAGCCAGCTCTTCTGGAAAGCCAGTTCAGAAATTGCCACCTTGCCAGATCCCCAACAAAGAGGGGGTTCAGCTTTACCTTGAGCCTCTGCCTGCCTTCTTCCCCTGTACCACCTCCCCAGGGGGAAGGTGAGCATGGATTCTGCCAGGAGACACACTCACCCCAGAAATGCCTGAGGTGGCCACGAAGCCGCTTGCCTTGTCTTCAGTAGCTAATGACCAGAGAGATTTTTTTTTTTAAAGTACCATGGTCCCAAGGTTCCATCCTGAAATTTATTTTTCTTTGTATGAATATGTGTAAATGATTTAAAAAATAAAGCTGTAAAATATTTGTATGAAGAATAAATGAAACTGACATAGCTTTGAGTCCTGCTATTGGGTGTGCAGTTGGTGTGGTGGGAGGGGAGTTGCTGTTTGGAAGTTGGTGTTCAACAGTTTTTCTCTCTTCATCTTTCAAATTCTCACTGGAACATTGATTATCCAGCATCTACCTAATACATGGGAGGTACATGAATGAGATGGTCAGGGTCCCTGTGTTCGTGGTGCTGATGGTTTAGCAGGAGAGACAGGTGTTTAGCAATCATGCATTTTTTACTTGTGTTACTTCAATACAGAAAAATATGGGGTACAGTATAATTGCTTGGTATTTTTTATTACAAATTATTCCATGGAAGAAGTCTTTCTCAATGCTTAGGGCATTGAAATGCCAGCATTTCAATGCTGGCTCCACCAGGTTTTATCAGAAACTAGAGACATATCAAGATGGGTCTCTATCCTAGGGAAAAATTTTAAAATATACATTTTTATATTTGGAAGTAAATGTCTGTGGCCATGTTAGAATTTGAAATGTCTAAAAGAGAACTGGTTCAGTAATCCAGACAGTGAAATATTATTTAGCTATTTAGTTATATTTAGGGAACAATATCCAATGACAAAGCTAACAATATAATGAGAAAGCAAGGTTAGCAAACTTTTTACAAGTTATCTCAAGAAGAAAATGCATTGAAAAGAGAAGAAATTCCCAATATGTTAAATGTGTCAAGATTGTGAGCAACTTTTGCCCTGCTTTGTCATACTTCTCTGTAATTTACAAATTTCCTTAGTGTGTGTGTAATACTTTTATAGAAAAAAAAAAAAGAAGACAACATTATGGGGAGGACAGCATCTGTTGCTGGCACCTGGGTCTCTGAAGGGCAGTGGGGCACGGCCCACAGTCCTGGGAGTGGGCTGGGCAGGCTGATGAAGAAGTTTGTGGTGTGGAGATAAGGAGAAATGTCTGGCAGAGTAAATAGCCTAGGAGTTGAGTTAACTTCTGGTTTAAGCAAAATCTCCAGGTTGATCTGCTCTGCTTTGTGTTTGACAGCATGAAGATGTCCAAGTGGATGCTTTTTTCATCAGGGCCAGATGCATCTTGAGTCCACATCAAATTCAGTCAGTATTTATTGAGTCCCCATCATGAACCAGATGCTTTTGGGTACCAGGGATCAATTCACAAGGCAGACAAGGTCCCCGCTCTCACGGCTAATGTACTAGTTGAAGGAGTGACAGAATAAACAAGTAAATAAGAAAACCTCAGGGACCTCTCTGGTGGTTCAGTGGCTAAGACTCTATGCTTCCAGTGCAGGAGACTTGGGTTTGATCCCTGGTCAATGAACTAGATCCCACAAGCTGCAACTAAAGATTTCTCATGCTGCAGCTAAGACCTAGGGCAGCCAAATACAATGCACAAATGAAAACCTCAGTCAATGTGCTGTGAAGAAATAAAGTCACACGTTGCACTAGAGAGTACAGTGGAGGCTTTGTGGGGGCAACGTTAGATAGTGTGGTCAGGGCAGGCATTGGTCGTGAGGTGGTCTGAGCGGGAGGAGCCAGCGGTGGGGGCTGCAGGAGGAGCCAGTGGTATGGGAGTTTCTGGTGGGAGCCTGGTTGAGATCCCAGGGGAATGACAAAGGCTCTGATCCGAGGCTAGAAGAGCCCCATGCAGTCCAAAGGGAAGGAGCTAGAGTGTAGCGAGAGGAGTAGCAGACAGGGTGGAGGTGGTCAGGAGCATGATAACTGGGCTCTTCTTAATTATGGTGGAGAATTTCAATTTTATTCTAAGTTCCACAAGAAAACGCTAGAGAGTTTTAAGCAGAAAGGTGACATGGTATGATTTAGTTTTAAAATCTGGGAGCTTCCATGGTGGCTCAGTGGTAAAGAATCCGCCTCCCAATGCAGGGGACACGGGTTTGATCCCTAATCTGAGAGGATACCACATGCTGCAGAGCAACTAAGTCCCTGAGCCACATCGATTGAGCCGGTGCTGTTGAGCCCAGGAGCAGCAACTACTGAAGGCTGCGTGCCCTGGAGCCCATGCTCCCCACTAAGAGAAGCAACTGCAACGAGAAGCCCGAGCACCACAGTTAGAAAGTGGTGCTTTCCACAACTAGAGAAACCCTGTGCAGCAATGAAGACCCAAGACAACCAAAAATAGTAAATAGATAAAAAAGACAGCTCCGGTTGCAGGCTCTAGGCTGGAGATGGCGTAAGGATAGGGATGGGTGGCAGAGAGATGTAGGAAACGGGACGGATTTTGTAGGTACAGCTGTTAGAACTTGTTGCTGGACTGGATGTAGAGGGTGAGGGCAGGAAACAATTCACAAGGCAGACAAGGTCCCCGCTCTCACGGCTAATGTACTAGTTGAAGGAGTGACAGAATAAACAAGTAAATAAGAAAACCTCAGGGACCTCTCTGGTGGTTCAGTGGCTAAGACTCTATGCTTCCAGTGCAGGAGACTTGGGTTTGATCCCTGGTCAATGAACTAGATCCCACAAGCTGCAACTAAAGATTTCTCATGCTGCAGCTAAGACCTAGGGCAGCCAAATACAATGCACAAATGAAAACCTCAGTCAATGTGCTGTGAAGAAATAAAGTCACACGTTGCACTAGAGAGTACAGTGGAGGCTTTGTGGGGGCAACGTTAGATAGTGTGGTCAGGGCAGGCATTGGTCGTGAGGTGGTCTGAGCGGGAGGAGCCAGTGGTGGGGGCTGCAGGAGGAGCCAGTGGTATGGGAGTTTCTGGTGGGAGCCTGGTTGAGATCCCAGGGGAATGACAAAGGCTCTGATCCGAGGCTAGAAGAGCCCCATGCAGTCCAAAGGGAAGGAGCTAGAGTGTAGTGAGAGGAGTAGCAGACAGGGTGGAGGTGGTCAGGAGCATGATAACTGGGCTCTTCTTAATTATGGTGGAGAATTTCAATTTTATTCTAAGTTCCACAAGAAAACGCTAGAGAGTTTTAAGCAGAAAGGTGACATGGTATGATTTAGTTTTAAAATCTGGGAGCTTCCATGGTGGCTCAGTGGTAAAGAATCCGCCTCCCAATGCAGGGGACACGGGTTTGATCCCTAATCTGAGAGGATACCACATGCTGCAGAGCAACTAAGTCCCTGAGCCACATCGATTGAGCCGGTGCTGTTGAGCCCAGGAGCAGCAACTACTGAAGGCTGCGTGCCCTGGAGCCCATGCTCCCCACTAAGAGAAGCAACTGCAACGAGAAGCCCGAGCACCACAGTTAGAAAGTGGTGCTTTCCACAACTAGAGAAACCCTGTGCAGCAATGAAGACCCAAGACAACCAAAAATAGTAAATAGATAAAAAAGACAGCTCCGGTTGCAGGCTCTAGGCTGGAGATGGCGTAAGGATAGGGATGGGTGGCAGAGAGATGTAGGAAACGGGACGGATTTTGTAGGTACAGCTGTTAGAACTTGTTGCTGGACTGGATGTAGAGGGTGAGGGCAGGAAGTGAAGGCTAACTCCTTGGCTTTTGGCCTCAACAACTGCAGGAATGGTGTTGCCCTCAACCGAGAAAGGGGAAAATGGATGGAGCATGTTTGGGAAGGAAAATACCAAGTTCTATACGGAACATGTGAGATGGGAGGCAGAGATCTCTCCAAGTATAGATATCAAGTACTGATAGATGATTGTATATGTAAATCTCGGGAGAAGTCAGGGCTTGGTATATAAATTTGAGAGTCTTATTATTTATATAGATGGTGTTTAAAGCCCCAAGACTGGATATGTTCGCCTAAAAACTTCATCTAATTTCTCCATCCCTACTGGCTTTTTTAGGCTTTCCTGGTGGCTCAGTAGTAAAGAATCACCTGCCAATGCAGGAGATGTGGGTTCAATCCCTGGTCCATGAAGATCCCCTGGAGAAGGAAGTGGTGACCCACTCCGTTTTCTTGCCTGGAAAATCCCAAGGACAGAGAAGCCTGGCGGGCTAAAGTCCATGGGGTTGCAAAAGAATCAGACACGACTGAGCAACTGAACAAGAACTGGCTCTTTCATTTCATTAAATAAGCATGCTCAATTATTTCTCATGCTAAATGGAACAAAAACCAAACCGATCCCCTGATCAATCAGCCAAACAAAATAATCTTTTCTCAGCCATGAATCTCCCCACCCCCAGCCTGGCCCCTATCTCAAGAAGCCAAGCTCTTTCAGGAACCATGCTGAGTCTGATGGAGCAGGGTTTGCCTTGACCATCAAAGGTGTTGCAGAGGACACTGACAGATGACGAGTTGCTCCCTGGTGACTGGGGGTGTAGAATGCTCGTTGGCCCTGACTTCATTTACATGGGCTAGGAGGAAGGGGGGAGAGTATTGGAACAGAGCTCGTCCATGGCCAATTGATAAGAGAGTCAGAAGAGAACTCCTCAAACCACACACAGGATTCTCAAGAAAATGTCAATAAAGCACAAAAGGACTTCTTTGGACTAATAACATTATTTTTTAAAAAAAATTTATTGGGGGTAGAGTTGATTTACATTGTTGCCTTAGTTTCTGTGGTACAGCAAAGGGAATCATTTATTCATATACATATACCCATTTTTTAAAAGATTCTTCCCCACGTAGATCATTACAGATTATCGAGTAGAGATCCCTGGGCTACACAGTTGTTTAGTTGCTCAGTCATGTCTGACTCTTTTGCAACTCATGGACTGTATCTTGCCAGGCTCCTCTGACCATGGGATTCTCCAGGCAAGAATACTGGAGTGGGTTGTCATTTCCTCCTCCATAGGATCTTCCTGACCTAGGGATTGCACTCATGTTTCCTACAAGGGTAGGCAGATCATTAACCACTGAGCCACCAGGGGAGCTCAAATACAGTAGAGGCTTAATACTTAACTATTTTGTTTATAGTAGTGTGTACATGTCCATCCCAATCTCCCCATTTATCCTCCCCCTTTGCCCCTGGTAACCATAAGATTAATAACATGATTTTCTAAGTGAAAATGTAATAGAGAAACAAGAGGAGGATGATCACTACTGAGAACCAAACTGATGGTCTGAAAAGCAAGCAAAAACTGTAGAAAGTTATAAAAAAAGCA